GTATAATGATAACCGTATCAAAGATTTACGATTTAATTAGTGAAAAGAGAAGCTGCTATAGTATCGCCAATAGCCGGTACAACTAGAGATTTAGTAGAAGTAAGGGTTGAAATAGGAGGATTTCCTGTTATTATCGTTGATACCGCTGGTTTAAGAGATTCAGAAGATATTATAGAAGTTGAAGGAATGAAAAGAGCCTTAAAACAGTATATTTTATTCAAACTTCAAATCAAAGCAATACTAATAATACAATTAGGGCTAAAGAAGCTGATTTTAACCTATTAGTCCTAGATGGTACAAAACTTAACTCAGCGGATAAAGAAGAGTATATTAGATCGCTTTACTCTAAATTCTCCCTAAATGAATACAAAAAGAATACAATAATTCTATATAATAAGTCAGATTTATACGAAGGAGCTAATTTAGTAGAATCTGAATTAGAGAAAATTCCTAATTTCAAAGTTTCTTGCGAAACTCATGAAGGTTTAAATGAAGTTTTAGGGCATTTAAAGAAAAAATTCGATATTGAGTAAGATTTTATTATTATATTAATTAATTTGTAATACTAATCGATTTAATTAGATATGATAATGTACTGGGAAGTGATAGCCTAGTAATAACTCAAACTAGACATAAACTATTAATTAATAGAGCTGTTGAAAAATTAGAGCATTTTATAGGTAAATTAAATAAATTTAACATTATTTATTAACTAAAACAATACTAGAATTATTACCTGTTGACCCCGTATTAAGTGTAGAAGATTTACGTGGAGCAACAATGGAAATAGGTAAATTAACTGGTGAAATTACTTTAGATCATATCTTAGATCAACTATTTAAATCTTTCTGCATTGGAAAGTAATAAATTAAATAAAAAGAAAGAAATTTTATTAATATTATAAGTATAATGTATATATATGTTTTAATTGTTTTTATATATTATGTATATATGTAAAGAGTATATTGGCTAGTTCAATTAATCTTCTTCCATTAAAGTTGAGTTTAATCTATTTTTCTTCCAACCAAATCTTTCAGAGCTATCTTTAACTAATTCAGTAGTAGGCCTAAAAATTAATAATTAATGTATTAGTTAAAATTAATATGATTTAATAATTATGCTTACCAGTAGTGATAGTTGGTCTTAATACTGAAAACTCCAGGAATGCCATCGAAACTCATTACTCTAACTCTAACGTAGGTATTATCGGGCAAGTCCTTAATAGCCTCAATAAAAGTATCCAAGTCAGGGGTAGGAACGTCATTAATATGAGTAATCCACATGGTTACATCCTAAATAATAGCATTGTTAGTTAATAATTATTAAAATAATATAATAGCTGCATACCAATCCATAGTGATAACCTGGGCCACCTGTAGATTTACCAGAAATATAAACTCTACTAGGAAGAGTAGTGGATTGTTGGAGTACAGCCTTATGAGGAGCTTGAATAATGGTGCCTGCCCAAATAACAATTCTATCAGTTCCATTTCCTTGAACGAGATCTTGTTTAACCTTTAAGTCTAAAATCTTCTTTCCTCTGAGAATTGTAATATCTAACTCTGGTAAATGACTTAACTCGTCGATATCAGACATCTTGGAAAGGATCTTGCCGTTAAGGGTTAGGATAAGATCTAGAGTTTGTAATACTTGGGAGGATTGAGAGCCTACTTCTGTGCGACGAACTTGATAAACAGCTCTTTCTGTAGCACCAGTGTTTTCAATTCTGGCAATCCATTCTTCAGGAAGTTCTAAGTGACGAGCTTGAACAAGGTTAACAAAGGACAATTCAACGTTCAAACTGTAAAGGAGAGGGAATTTGCCTTCTTGTAAAGATTTCAAAGCTGGAAGCACAGTGGAAATATGGATACCCATATGATATTCATTATCATAGTGATTACTTGATTTTTCTCCAAGGAAAGTTAACCATAACCCTTGAATATTACCTTCTTCATCGGAAAGAATACCTGTTGAAGAAGAATGGGCTAAAGGAGTATCCAAAGTAATAGTATCCAAATTAATACTACGGAATCTAGGGGTAGCATCCTCAGGAATAGTTACATTAGTAATATCTGATACAACAGTTTTGGTAGCGAATACTCTAAAGTTTTGGTTGAAACCGACTAAATAAACTGAGTTTCCTTGAGATAATCTTGTTTCACTGATTTTAGGAGTTTTTACAGGGGTTTCGCCAATAAATTTGGGGTCATAGGATAAAATAGCAAAATTGTAGGATGGATGAAGGAATTCTACTTTACCAGGGATTACAATGGATTCAGCAAAGGTTATATAAATATCACCAATATCGAAAGGAATTACATTTCTACTGGTTACAACTAAGCCTTTTTCGGCATCTAAGATAATACCACCACCTCTGGTGCGACTACGAGGGAAACCATCGATTTTAACGGGAGTAAAATATGAAATACGAACAACACTGTGCTTGAGAACTTGGGCTGGAACTGAGTGAGTTTCTATATCTACAAATGATGCTGTTTTTGGAACAAGAGGAAGGGGTTCAACATATTCACCTACTTTTTTAGAATCCCAAATACCAGTTGTATCATTTCTAGTGTATAAAGTCATACTAGACCAATGACGATCCATAACGGTAAGAATCCAATCAGTGGTGTGAACATCAGCAATGGAATGGTATACTACAGGGAAACGTTTACAATCTGGGATAGATTTCATTACTTCAATAAAGGTATCCAAATTGGGTGTAGGGTGATCGTCTACTGAGGTGATAATAGCACCAAGACCACTATTACCTAATTTGAAAATACCAGATGCTGAACTGACGTATACACCTTCAACGGGTTGGCCATAATGACAAGCGAGTTGGTAGGAGAGGTCATTTAATTGAGCACCTCCAACTTCTAAAAGACGATTGGGAGTAATAGAGTGAAGATCTTGAATATTAACTTCAACAGTATGAGGTTTACCACCACGATCTACTACAACAGTAATAGTGCCATCGATACTACTATCTAAAACTTCTTCAAGATCAACAAATTTAGTTACCAAGTTACCATTAATAGAAATCAATATATCGCTTTCCCTTATTAAACCATGGGCTGGACCTTTAGGTAAAACTTGCTCAACTACTAAAGTACCAATTTCGTCAGGATAGCTTCTTCTAATTTGATCTTCAAATTCAGAGCTAAGACCTAATCTTCTAGCTTCATCGAAGGGACGATGAACGAAACGAGTTTGAATAGTACCTCTTGGAACTGTTAAACTTTTTTGTACAAAACCCAAAGCTCTCTTAACACGATCTAATGGTAAAAAGAAATCGGTAGCGGCTTCAGTACGACCACCAGCTTGTAAGGCGACAGCGTGACCGTCAATATTTAAGACAGGAGAACCTGAACTACCACCACTCGTACTGGAAGCGGCTTGTAAATAGAATGTGTTGAAATCATTGTAAGTTAATTCACCATAGTGGGGGGCGTTACGATTAATACGAGAGATAGAACCAGCTAAAATGGATAATTTTTCACCAGCGTCATTACCAACAACTCTAATATCAATACCAACTTTAGCTAAATCAGGTCTTAAATCAATTTGATGAATATGCATGTATTTAATGTCTTTAGGGTTGAATTTTAAAAATCTATATAAATAAAATATTAATTAAAGCAATATAAGTTGATATTTTGCAAATTACCCAAAGTCGTGAATAGGATCTCTATAAATTAAGATTAAGTTAATAACAGATAGAAATATAATAGATTAAATTACCTATAAACTGGATAAACTTCAAATTCTTCATGATCATGGGCAATAGCTTCGCCTACAAAAGGACCAGAGCATACAATATGACGATTAGTTAATATTAAACCATTTTCTGCATCTACAATGAATCCTGTTCCTTCACTAGAGGTAGGGCCTAAATTATATCAAAAACAAAGATAAGAGTTGATTATTAGAGTTTGAATTATGTTTTTTACCTTCAGTATCAAAAGCCATAACTTGACAAAATCTAATACTAACAATAGCGGTGATAGCCTTTTCTAATACATTTTGCCATTGAGGTAAGTCTGAAATAACGGGGTTACTCAAAACTCCGTTCAAGTCGTCTGTAGAGTGAGTGCGAGGTCTTTTTAATTGTTGACGAAATTCGGGATCTGTAGGGGGAATTTCTTGACTTTTACAAACTGGAGAGTCTACGCGACCATTGTTATTAATGGCGCTACTAGTGTTATCGGATACTCGTGTGGGATTTGTATATTGTTGAGACATTTTTTATATATTATATACTTTTTTGTTATTTTATTTTCTATATGTTTAAATTGAACAATAAAAAATTATAAAGCTTAAATCCTTTACTCTTTAAATTAGCAAAATAAAATTAGCTTTAATAAAGGAATAAAATTATAAAAACTGGTTTATATACAAAAGAATATATATATTTATAATAATATACTTATATTATTTATATTATTATATTGGAATTTCGCTCCCGTTAATAAGGATATTTATATTGAAATTTTGGTGTTTAATTAATTATGGGTAGATTAGAGATTACTTCATAATACTGAAAGTTTTCACAGTAAATTGATTAATTAAGTTACAGATGTTGAGTAGATTTTTTGTAGTGAGAATATGTCGAATGTTATATATAATCTTGTAAAAATGAGCAATAGTGAGATATATATTAGTTAATGTAAAAAAAATATCATAGCTATCAGTAGATAACTATATATGTAGATATATAAAATATATAATTTATTAAAATATGAAACTCTTACTTCATTCTCCACATTTTTAAATAAAATTAATCTGGACACGAAAACCAGAAAAATACCTATAAATGAACGCCAAGTTACTAATAATGGAAAACAGTGCATTAGGAGGCTAAATAAAGTAATTAAATAAAAATAGAGAGTGGCTATTGAGAGAATATAATAATATAATAAGAAAACCAATACCAGTAGAAAACTAATTATATTGCAACTATTATATAATAATGTAATAATTTGTTAAAAAAATCACTATGTCACTTGTGCGGATTGAACACTGGACATTCGGAACATCAGTCTGACGCTCTTCCAACTGAGCTAAAGTGACTTAATTTTTCCACTTTTTTATTGTCATATTTAAGCTTATTTTATTTTCCTTCAATTCATTATTACACCAAAATTAAATTATTATCATTAATTATTTACAGTCTAAGTTTTACATCGTTTTTATTATTTGCATTAATATTTACTATTATTATTTTATTAACTATTTTTGCATTATTAATATTTATAGTTCTTCACCTTACTTAATTAACTTTAATAACCCATAAATTTAAACCCTTTCTTCTCTACAAAATTTAATTAACACTTGTAAATTTTTTTACTAATAATAATAGTCACTTTAAAATAAAAAATAATTAATAATATAAACTAATAAAAAATAGTATTATGTCGGACAATACAAATAGCAGTAATAAACCGAGTAATATTGGCAGCAGCTTCAGAAATAACAATAACAGTAACAGCAAAGAGAGCCCTTTATTCGTTATAGTACGCTTACCTATAAAACGTCCTCAAAATTTCGTTGACCCACCTTGCGTACGTTAAAACTTTTTAATAATAATCATATATTAACTTTTATTAGACTTTATGGAATGAAACCAAAGAGCAATTACTCTGGGAATATCTCAATCGCAATAAAGGAAGAAACATAGATTGTAATTAAAATTCAAGTAAATAAAAATAATTTACTAATTGTTTTATAGGGAATTATTTGAGTCAAGAGCTACAAATTCCTGTACCTTACTTAATAAAATTTTCTAGCTTTTTATATGAAGTACAACTCTTAAAGCTGAGAAATCAAACTTGGACTGTGCCAGAGGATATTGATTTTGACAGAGATAATATTACAGATAGTGTTGAAATAAGAGAGAGCGAAGAAGAAAGGGGCGAGACTACTGAGGAAGAGAGGGAAGTTTTAAATAATTTAAATATGCTACAGACTAAAATGCTAGAAGGTAAAATTACCCTTATTATTCTTTTACTATTATCATAGCTTATTAACATGATTTTTAGAACCTTATTTAACAACAGAAACTACTCGAAGCACGCCATTCGTTACACCGCTAAGTTCTCCAATGAATCGATCAAGAGAACTAGTTAATCCGGATCAATCAATAAACCCTCAACCTCTTCACCATTAATATCGCATCAAAACCAATCCAATACTATAGCAGAGTTACCAAGTTTATCGAGGGATTTTTTGGGACTTCAGTTAAATGAGAAATTAGAGAAATTTGGATTTAATAATCAAGAGAGTAATTTTGATAAAAATGAAAACGATAAGTTTAGATTTGGACATAGTCTTCAAGATTTAAATACTATTCGTCAAACTAATAGCAATGACAATAATAATAATAATCAAGCAAATGCAAATAATAACAATGAAGAAGGTAAAAACTCAACACTTAAAAATTTACAATAATACATCACAATCCATATTAACACATAATTCATTTAGAAATTGACTCTAACTCAATCGGATCACCTTACTCAGACTTATCAGGTAATTTTAATAATTGGCATTTAATAAATGTAGCTAATGTTTGAATTAGATGAATCTGTAACCCAATCCCAATTAGAAGACGCTTTCCTATCGAAATTTAACAAATAGTAATTATCACTTATCCTTGTATTCTATACATACTAATGTTTTTGCATTTAGTTCAATATTTAGAAAAAGTCACTTCTACTAAAAGTTTTTTATTCTTATGTATTTTAACCCTCAATTCGCCTTTCATAACTTTTTTTACTTTTTAATAAAACAAAACAATAAAATTAATAATATAAATAATTTATTTTTTGTTGGATTATTATTGATTATTTTTGTCTAGCAACTGGACTCCAACTTTCAGGTTCAAATTCTTCTACAATTAATGTTAATATAATAAAAATGAGATAAGGATTGTGATCTTACCTGGTTTAGCGGTTTGAGGTAATTTAGATTCTTTATGTTCTATAAAAACAATCAAATTAATAAATATGTAACAAAATACGATAAATAGTGTTATACCTGGCTCAGCGGTTTCTTTAACACTCTCAACTTGCTCTCCATTATCCAATAATTTTTGTTCCTTTTCCTACACATCAAGTTAGAAAAAAACCTATTATTAAATTATAAAATTACTTGTTTTTGTAATAATTCCAATTTTTTAACATTTTCAAGAGTTCTTTGTTTACGAATTTCATCATTCATCAATTCCTATTATATTAATAAGTAAATTGTAGTATTTTAACAGTTTAATATATTACTTCAATTGTAGGAGGGTGGTGTCTAGTGTGACGCATCCAACTAATCCACTGAACTATAAACAAATTTGTTAAAAAAGCACTCTCTTTTACTGTAATATATGTTGTTACCTGGTAGTGGCGCATTAGCCAAACTACTCAAATCACTTTTAACTAAAGGGTCTAAAATTTTAACGGTTCTTCTGGGGTAGCCCTCTGAAAAGGCTTCTTCATAGTAATAATTTCCTTTTAAGTCCTCTCCAATGAATTTTTTAGAACTGAAAGGTAAGTTAACTTTAAGGAACTTTAGGTAAAATTGACGTAATTTGAGGGACATATTTAATATTTTTGAGTTTTGGAAATGGTTGGGCTATTGAGGGATTATTTAATAAAATTTGTGGTATTATGGGATTATTTGATTTTTGGAGTAAATCGATAATGTTAAGGATATTATGGGTATAACATGACAGATAAAAATAAATACAACATATGGGAAGCATAGTATACATAGAAAAATATTTTTAATATATCTACTCTGATAGATCTGATAATCACTAAACTGTATAGATAAGATAATCTTATATTTATTTGTGAGAAATTATATAATAATCTGGGTAAAATTAAAGAAGGATATATTAAAAAGATATAATAATAGAATGGGAAGTTAAAATAATATTTAAAATGTTAATTGGAGAGCATGGTAGAATTAGAAGCAAGTTAGGATACAATATATAAACAAGCAAAAATAAAAAAATGTACCTTAACGATTCCACCAGGGATCGAACCTGGAATCTCTTGATCCGTAGTCAAGCGCCTTATCCATTTGGCCATGGAACCTTATTGACTTCAATCATTAAAAATTAAAATTTAATAGAACTTAATATAGGTAATATCAATTAAAACTTTAATTATTTTTATTACCTTGATATTATTTTATACATTTATATTAATTAGTTAGACTTTATTATTTTTGTTTTATTAATTATTTTTATTATTAACAAATCTTTTTCGTACATTATAAAGTAGCTTATATATCTTAGCTTCGATTATACATCATTTATAACTAAAAGCTGGATGAATAATCCCCAAATTAAGCAATCCCTTAGAATTAAACTGCCCATATACCCCTGCGACCAAGGTATTTGGAGGTTGCTTACAATAAACTAAATAACCTTTTTTACTCCCATAAACAACGTCTTCATTCTTATTCGACAAAAGTGAAATTCCTACTAGTCCCTTAGTCCCTTGATATAGCTTAAAGCCAATTAAGGGATTTTGGATATGAAAGCTTTGCCCTTGATTCAATTGCGTGCTGCAATTCCCAAATGAGCTTATTTCATTGCCTGATTGAAATCTAATACCTGTGATCATTTGATCGTTGCCG